TGTGTGTGTGTGTGTGTGTGTGTGTGTGTGTGTGTGTGTGCGTGTATGTGTGCGCGCTGGGCCTCTGTACCGATTTTTCATCTCGAGACCTACAAAAGCTACAGGGTCGAAACTTTGGCAACTTAATTTATATGAACGTACGGGCCCCATCCCCAAAATGGGCGGTCTTACCCGCGTGGCGCTCACGTACGGAACCGTGAAAGTTTTTTGCGGGTAAGTCGCTAAGATGCGAACCAGAAAGGCTAGAAAGCTGAAATTTTAAGGGGATGTTCCCTATTCACGTAATTCTAAATGAGCTCAAAACCAGCTCCCGGGTAGGCTTGGTACCCGCGTACGGGCCTGCCAAAATTTTTTCGGGTAGGTTCATAACTCGGGATCTGAAATGCTAGAAATCTGAAATCTTATGGGGATGTCCCCCGTCCAAGTAGGTATTAATGAACTCAAACCCTGTCCCCGGGTAAGCGTGGTACCTGCGTACGGGCCTGTGAATTTTTTTTTTTCGAGTAAGTTCATAACTCGGGAGGCTGAGAAGCTAGAATGCTGAAATCATAAGGAAATTTTCCCCCTCCAAGTGGATATTGATGTCCTCAAACCCAGCCCTCGAGTGTGCGTGATACCCACGCACGGGCCCGCCAACTTTTTTTTCGGATAAGTTGATAACCCGTGAATTTGAAAAGCTAATGGACTGCAATTTTAAGAGGATATTCCCCGTCCACCTAAGTCTCAATCAGCTCAAACCTAGCCCTCGAGCATACGTGGTACCCACGACGGACTCACCAAAGTTCTTCTCGGTTAAGTTGATAACTCGAGAACCTGGAAAGCTAGAAGACTACAGTTTTAAGAGGATGTTCCCCTTCCACGTAAGTCCCAACGAGCTCAAACCCAGACATCGTGGTACCCATGCGCGGTCCGCGATATTTTTTCCAGTAAGTTGCTAACTCAGGAGCCAGGAAAGCTAGAAAGCTGTAATTTTAAGGGGGTGTTTCCTGACAGTTCTGAAAACACCCCTTAAAATTACAGCCAGTCTTAATTTGTTTAGCTAGAAGCATTTGCCGGAAAAACTGGTGCCGGTAGCGACAAAAAATGCGGCAAACCCATGAACGGACTCACCGAAGTTCTCGGTTAAGTTGCTAACTCGAGAATCTGAAAAGCTAGAAGACTGTAGTTTTAAGAAGTCCCCCGTCCACGTAGGTCTTATGAGCTCAAACCCAGCCCTCAGGTATGCGTCGTTCCTACGTACGAGTCCGTGAATTTTTCTGC